CACCCATGCATTAGGTGGTGTATTGTCATAGGAACTGTCTTGTGTTTTAATCACAGTAGCCAGCGTCTGAATTTATTTCTATCCCACAATCTCATTTTTTTTATCATTTCATATCAACAGGGGAGCAATGTGGGAGGAGGTAGAAATATTTTGAGAAATTAGGCAAGGCTTTTATATCTTTATTTCATCGAGATATATTCTACAGATGACGTCACATCATCCGTCTATCCATTTTCTAATCTGGTTATCCTCAAGAGGGTCGCGGGCGTGCTGCCTTCAACGTGTAGGGTTGCCAGCCAATCTCAGGGCACACATAGACGAACAACCATTCCCGCTCACAATCACACCTAGGGACAATTTAGAGTGTTCCATTAGCCTGCCGTGCATGTTTTTGGAATGTGGAAGGAAACTGGAGGACCCGGAGAAAACCCACGCAGGCACGGGGAGAACATCCACACAGGAAGGCAAGAGAGCCGTAATCAAACCCTGCACTCTGCACTGTAAGACGGAAAGGCTAACCAGTCTACCACCATGCCGCCACTTCACATAATTGCCGCACATAATAGATGAATGAACCGTCTGCGAGGCTGAATTGCTACGTCTATTGCGGTCGGAACTGTTTTATGTGTTTTAAACACAGTAGCCAGTGTTTGAATATAGTTCAACCCCACCATTTAATTGGATATTGATCGAATACTTTTAACGTCTTTATGAATTTGTGTATGCTGAAATTGCCGACAAGAAAAGGAGACTAAAACAAATACAATGGTCCTAAGAGCAGAACAAGCAAATGCTTTACGTCACGATCTTGTCATATTAATGGCATCATTGTCGCTGAATAGCTTCTGTCTGCTTGTCACTGCCACCAACTGGATTGGGGGTGTCGTGTGTTGTGTAGTGCTGTTACTTCTGTTGCTTTTCCTCCCAGAGTCATGGGTTGATTTGAAGTTTGGCAAGAATTTGTTCTCTTTAGTCACCCGAAACAAGATCATTTTGTTGCAAATGCATGTCCAGATCAAAAAGGCCTTCCCCAAACCACTTCTTCAATGTTTCGATTGATCTAATGACTTTGGTAAGGCAGCAGTACAGTCGGATGTCGGCAGAGGACTGTGTGGGGGCCCTAATGACCTATCTTTGGCACTGTTAGTATGGAAAAAGAGGGTGTTCCATTTCCTTCCAAGGAGACAAGACAAGATGAGTCTGGTGTGATCAGCAAAGCACGTGTCACCCACTCATGGTAAGATGGAAAACAAAACAGGGTCAGAACTTTTTGAGGCTTCATCAAGTTTCTTGGGAGCCCGGTGCTCAGCAAAGCACGTGTCACCCACTCATGGTAAGATGGAAAACAAAACAGTGTCAGAACTTTTTGAGGCTTTCTTGGGAGCCCACAAAAGGCACATTGGAATCTTGGTCAAGTTTTGTAGCTGTACTTGAAATCTCAGTATGGGTAAAAAAAAAAATTACCTTTTTAAAAGGCATAGTGTCAGTTACGGATGCTATTTCTGTATTTAACACATACACAAGACGCATTGTGTTATTGGACACAGGCATGGTAAATAAGAATATGGTAGCATGCATGCTAGCGTATGCCAGTGTTTTTCAAACTTTTTTGAGCCAAGGCACACTTCTTTCATTGCTTATTTTAACAATTAACGTGTTATATTGTTACTATAACCGTTTTTAACATTGAAGAATGACGTTATAACAGCTTGAATTGGAATCAAATGAACACAAAGAAAACAGTATTTTATCATCTTTCATATTTATTGTTTCACCGTCGTCCTGCATTCATGCGTCACAAATTCGCTTGTCTCTCGTCGAAACACAAGGCAATTGGCTAGCTGTTGCTGCTCCCTAGCGGTATAGGAGGGTACTACATGATTACTTTCTGGGCGAAAGACCGCACAGGCATACAAATTGGATATTTTCCCGCGGCACACCTGACAATGTCTCACACCAGTGTGCCGCGGCACACGGGTTGAAAAACACTGCCGTATGCTTTTAAAAAGGCAGCGGGAGCCAAACTTTAGTTCGGTTGTACTTTCTTGGAAGTATTTACTAATGTACTCAGGTTATATTTTTGATCAATCCTCATCCTCAAATCCATCAAAGTTGTAATCTTCTGTATCTGAAATGAACAGCTTGGCAAGTTCACATTCAAACACGCCAGGTTCCATAGCATCATTGTCAGAGTCAGTCTCGTTGCTGTGCAGCTCCTCAAAAATGATGATAGCTTTTGCCAATCCATTCACAAATTGTGTATTGTAGAGAAATTTTTAGAGATTTAAGTGTGCCTTTTAGTCATGAAAATATGGTATATTTAGTTATTTTTATGGATGTCCCGATCACAATGCACCCAAGTCGGAATCCAAGTCACTTGATTTTGAATATATGCCATTCTATATTTGTATATGACTGGGAATGAGCAGTAGTTCAAATCAAGTGAGGAACTAATATATAAATTCTAGACTCAAGAAATCAGGAATTATGTCATAGCATATTTTAGTCTGTTAACTTTCCATCATCGTCTTGACCCTTGAAGCATCATGCTGATCAGCCTGAAATAGTTGTTTAAAGTCACATCCCGATACATATATTTGTGATCGTTTGCTCGATATATAAGTGCAGTGACCTTATCCTTTTATGCCGGGCTTTCATGTGTTTTCCTGGACAGCTGTTTCCATGGCAGAGCTCTCAAGCTTTTTATCTCCGCGTCAAGCTCACTTAGGCACCTAATCTGTACTAATACCGGCCGAATTAGTGATGAGGACAGGAGGTAGACTGCCCACACTCTTTCGGTCCAAAGAGGAAACAAAAATTCTACATTTAATAGAAATGTATTGTTTTGAATTCATCACGTGGAATAACTTACTATCATCTTTGGTTTCTATTTCAGCAGCATATTCTGATATTTTGGACTCATACGCATGCCTAGCCTAGTTACATGTGGTATAAAGTTACACAGTACATGTAGTACATTTGATACTCAATCTCAGAATAATGTGCAGTCAGTCATGCGTCACATGCACACACAGGCTTTTGTCAGATGGCTAAAAAGGCATATTTTTGCAAACATAGAAATAAAGGCATATTTTCCAACTAAAAACATCAGATCCCGGTATATAACGCGTGAAGAAAGACGAACTGGTCTTGAGTTTTTAACTGTAGTGCTTGGCAAGGGAAGGCAGCTTTCATACACAAAACAACTCAATGTGCTTCACACAAGGAAATGACACCGGCAATTTTTTGCCAACAGTTGATGACATTCAGAAGCAATGCAGATAAAAGTACCTTTTCAAAATGTACTTAAAAAGAACATATATTGATAAAGTTTAAACACATTAGTAGAAAACTTTAAAAAGATGTTAAAGTAAACCAAAGAAACATGAGTTGGTTTCTAAAATAATGAATAGAAAAAAAATAATGTAAAGATGCCCTTGATAGCATAAGAAAATGGATCTGTGGGTGGGTGGGTGTGTATTTTTATTCTTTTTTTGGGGAGGTGGCATTTTCTTTAATTCTTTCTTGGGGAGGTGGCATTTGCCTTCATTTGTTTCCCTTTCAGGGAACTGTTCTGGGCCGTCAGCAGTTTTCATGTTTACATTATCTTTCCAAAGCATTCGTTTTATGTAGAAAACAGTAAATAAACTACCCTAAAACTATAATACAGTCAAGGCCTGCCGGTTGAAAACCAGATGACACTTGATTCAGACTTCTCTTATTCGCTTCTTCAAGGTTAGGTTACTCTAAAATATTTTCAAATAGAAGTGGGACCTACTTTTGCAATGTTGCTACCTTCTGTACTAAACAAGCTGTCGTCTTGTCATGATTTCCAAAGAGACAGTGGGCTCATCAGCTTAGATTGTCTGCTTTCACAGGCGACCCCCAGACACTTGGCCATATCTATGTCCAAAGGTCGAGGTCAGGTTATCCTAACCCAGGGGTGTCAAACTCATTTTTGTCATGGGCCACATTTTAGTTACCATCTTCCTTGCAGGGCCGTTATGTTTGAAACCATATAAAGAAGTCAAGAATAAATGTTCATTCACCTATTGTTACTGTAATGAGGGCTTTGGTAACAAGAAAATGCTTACAGTATCACTCTTATTTATTACAAAGGAGAATTTGACATTTTGGTAGCGATTTTAGCAAGCATCATGAAATTTGCCGTCCTTGATTTGCTTTCGCCGGCCACATAAAATGATGTGGGGGGGCCAGATCTGGCGGCCGGGCCTTGAGTTTGACACCAGTGTCCTAACCTAATCTTTTTTAATTGAGACCCCATACATGGACGGCGTCATTGCTGCTTGTGCTACGTACCTTAACACAGTTGTTGTGAAGTTGTTGTTGGGATCGTAGAGTTCAGACTGTCATCCTTGAAAGCGTGATCACGAGCGTTGTGTCCTTGATTGCAATTATTGTGGAAGCCAATTGGCATGAATTTGCATGCAGACGAATGGCTGTCAGAAAGGTTCAGTTGGCGCTCCCTATCGAGGATGGAATTTTTTTTCTTTTTTTTTTAACCATCAGGCCCGCACAGGCAATAGCATCAGGCCCACAGAGACGGAGGGAGAAAGAGAAAAGGGCTCGGCAGCCAGTTGAACTACTGGCATGGTGAGCTTGCCCTGAAAGAGCACATGCCTCCGTGCACAATTATCCACTGTATGGAAACAACTCCCCCCCTCCCTCAACACACACAGACAATAGTTTGACAAACACGTCTATAAATGGAAGATGGAAAAAAACAAAAGTAGGCCAAAGAGCAGCAGAATGTAAGATCATGTCACTGATGTGGGATTGACATTTATCTCCTCCAACTGAGTTGATGGTATTTGTGACGAGCATATGCTCAAGTATCCCCAAGGAGAGTCTTAAAATGAACCCAGCACATCGGCGCATGTCAGCTGGTATTGTGCAAATTAGCGTGAGATCACGACTATCACGAAGATTAATGCAGCGGAAGATCTTGTTTTGCATTGCCTCGTCTGTTTGGTTTGCAGGCTACTTCAGCGTGTTGGCAGTTGTACTGAGGACAGACAACAACTCACCGTGGACAGATGAGTTTGACAGTAAGCGCTGTGACGAAAACTGGATTGTTGTATTCAATGCTTGTCGGGACAATCACGTCTTTTCGTCTCCTCCGTAGGAATTGAATTATCATGTTTGATCGACTCGATTTCGACAAACAATCCGAGAATTGAGTGGAAAAAGATTAAAGCGGAGGGACCAAGCTATGTGTACTTCAACAAGAAAGTTTCAGGTAAAAACAAATCAAAACAAGAATACCGTGTCTCGCTCTTTCCTCACTGACAAATGACATTGGTCTTTATGTTGTACTTTGTGCAGGTGACTTGGAGAACCGAGCGGTGATCAGAGAACCGGCCACATTAGTGATCACCAACGCAACTCGTTTGGACACGGCAAAATATCGCTGTGAGGTCACGGCTGCTGACGACCTGAAGTCCTTTGATGAGATTGTGATTGACCTTGTTGTTCGAGGTACGGTAACTCTAAATCAGTAGATCACAACCTTTTTTGACTTGCGTACCACCAAACCTCTTTTTTTTTTTGTCGTACCGTGACTGCCTCACCCATACGATGATGAGTCTTCGAAAGCAGAGCGTAGCACAACTGAATGATGACACTGGTCAACAAATTTGACTTCACTTTTCATCAGATATGCAAGTCAACTTTCCCAGATTCTTTTTTAGCGCTAATTATAATATATTTAGTTCTATTTAGGAATTAACGGTTTGCTCCAGCAACAGGTGGATCGTCTTTCTGAAACGTCATAGCTTTAAATTACAACTCAAGGTAAAATCGTATTGTGCAAACTTTTACATGTGATATATTTTTAAACTGTCTTTTGTCTTGTACTTGAATACTGCAACTGTTTGTATTGTCTCTTTTATGATGTCTTACCTATTTGTTTTTTATTTCTGTCCTTGTGGTCGTAAAGTTTTATGTGTCTCACTGTGCTATTTTAGAAACCTGCCTTGGGACTGAAAACTAGCATTTATGCTAAGTCCGGTGCATTTACACTGTTTATTCTTGTGTTGTACTAATGAAATTAATAAATGAATAAAGAAGTAAAAAAAGAATAGATAAAATATCTCAAACACAATGTGCGAAAAAAAAATACAAAGGCAATTTTTATATCGGTGTCAAAAATGCATTTCATAACACATGACGATTCTCATTAAAATTTGCCATTGATGAGTGTCGTAAAATTATTTTATTTTGCATCCTTAACTTGAACATTGTTTTTTTTTACTTCAAATGAAACATAATACAAATAAATATGTTCTTGTTCTAGTTAACGCTTAAAAAAAATGTCTCCAAAAATGTGCAGCTCCTTTGAATAAATCCCCGTTAAATGGGCCTTTCAACTGTCAATATCAGTTACAAAACCCCATAACAAGAATAACCAGACCCACAGTTTTGCTTTTGTTTCATCAGTCATCTCAGCTTTAATGAGACGCAATAAATTTTATGGGACACTTGAGCTAGCGCGCAGCTTTTCGGATTTCGCCCTACGCAATGTACTCATCTACCCCTGCTTGTGAAACACTGCTCCAAAATGACTTGTGCTTTTGCTTTTTTTGTGTTATAAGTCTTGAAGAATGTAAACTCCGAGTCATATAAACATGACAGTACGTCAAGATTATTCCGAATTTAGGCTAATAATAACGTGATCATTTTGCCCTTAAAAGAGAGACCTTGCCCGGTGAGTTCACACTTTGGATGCGGTAAGATGACACCGTGTTGTAGGTCGCACCAAGCCTTTGGCATACATGTGAGGATGTGTTGTGACCAGACTAGACCTACCCCAGCTGCAAAGGCATGTTCTGGGCTATAAGGGGAAACCTCTGAAACTGCATCTGCGCTGAATCGCAGTGCTAAAGAAAGCAAGCGCCACATGTTTTGGTAGCATTTTTTGGCATTGCTCAAAAATCATGCTCCCATCCGAACCATGAACGATCAGCATGCGCCCGGGGGTGGGATCACTTTTAAGCATCCTAGTTGTGAATAAGGCCCAGCAGCATCACACTGCATCTACTTTTCGAAAGCGCAAACCGCTCTTCTTATTGGATTCTGCAGTATTGTCACAATCTTCCTGTTTTGTTTTATTTGCACTATAGTAAAGCCCGTCGTTCCAAAATGCAACGTCCCCAAATCGGTCCCCTTTGGGAAGTCAGCCGAACTGAGTTGTTTGGAGGATGAGGGTTTCCCCAAGTCTCAGTACCAGTGGTTCAAGAACAAAGAGGAAATTCCTGATGACCCAAAGAGCAGCATGAAGTTCTTCAACTCGTCTTACACTCTCAACTCGGAAACAGGAATTCTGGTTAGTATGTGTGTGCATGTGTTTGGACAAGGACACGCATGGGCGAGGAAGGTGGGGCAGGGACGGTGGCTGGTCGCCCAGGGGTGGGCCGGATATTTTGGGTAGACAGTTGATGGTGAAGGAGGGCTTGAGCCACAAGGGGAATCTGCTGTCCTCGCTTGCACATTCCTCCGTGGACTCGCTTTGGAGGACGCTGCTCAGTCCACAGACTTTCCACCACCCAAGTCCTACGGCACTCTCATCCTTTGTGTGAAACTCCAAAAGCAAGTGTTGTTCACTTTGGACAGCACTTGAAAGTGCACGCTGTAAACTAATGAGGTTTGAATGATAGTTCTTCTGCACCTGTGCTCGCACCATTGGACTGTATTTATTTATTTTAACTCATTCAGTACCAGCCACTTCTGGACCAAGTCTGAAAAGACGTTTAAAAACGTCTTTGGGAGTGACTGAGTTAATAGCTCTACTCGTGGGAAAACAATGTATACCAACAGATGGATAACGTGGAACTAGCTGACTGTGTGATGGATTGAAGTACATCATTGGGAAGAAATTACTTCCTGTTTTTAGATCATTTCATCATCACATAACATATATATAATGTCATATATTCATAAAACATTAAGTCATCATAATGCATTCAATATTTTGTAAGATTTCATGAAATGCACACTTTTATCACTTATAACATCTATCCGCACGTCTTTTTTTTTTTTTTAAAGGCCAGTGTAACATTGCACCCCAAGGTTGGTATGTTGGTTTAAAGGTTGACTGCTCTGCAAATGGAGTGCACTTAAATGCAGACGGTAGTGAATGTAAAACTTTGCCAACCGAGATATCAGAATCAGGGGGATGCACAGTGCAGAGGTTAGATTCCGGCTTCGGCCTTCCTGTGTGGAGTTTGCATGTTCTCCCCGTGCCTGCGTGGGTTTTCTCCGGGTGCTCCGGTTTCCTCCCGCATTCCAAAAACATGTGTGGCACGTTAATGGAACACTCTAAATTGTCCTTGGGTGTGATTGTGAGCGCAAATGGTTGTTCATCCTTGCGTGCCCTGCGATTGGCTGGCAACCGATTGAGAGTGTGCCCCGCCTACTGCCCGAGGACAGCTCGGATAGGCTCCAGCACCCACGGCGACCCTTGTGATGATAAAGTGGATTGGAAAATGGATGAATGGTTATATATCATAATCTTGGCCACTGTTGGGACTCAAACACAAATGCACAGTTAAGTTCAATTTGTTATCCGTAAATCTGTTATCTTTGACTTAAATTCTGGTTATTTGCCAGTCATTGACATCTGAGTGGCAAAGATTGTCAATATCTCGTTTGTTGGTGAAATGGCTACACTCAAGACAACACTGACTGGCTCTTTTGTACTTTCCCCAATGTAGAAGTTCACCTCCGTCAGAAAAGAAGATGCTGGCGAGTACCACTGCAGAGCTAAAAATGATGCAGGATATGCTGAGTGTGCGCCGCAGAAGATGGAAGTCTGTAAGTGCTGCATCAGCACATAGTTTAAATCAGGATTCCGAGAGTTCATCGGGGTCCACAGACTATATGGAATTACTTTATCTGTACATGACACGCATGAAGAAATGTGTTGGTACGCCTCTTTTAATCAAAGAAAAAGTCACAGTGGTCACTGAAACAACTTCATTCTGACAAAAGTAAAAATAGAGACAAATGTAACAAAAATTAGTCAAGGAAAATCAGGCAATGCTTTTAAACTGTGGTACATCAGAATTCTTTTAACCCTTTCATGAACAAATAACGATAACCTATATCAGGATTTTTTTCTCAAGTGTTTTTATTCGTCTTTAGGCATGAAAAGAAAAAATAACGGTAGCGGATGGCAACACACAAGGGTCCATTGTAGCGGTTGACGCACAACTGTGACATTAAGATTAAGAGAAAACAAAATTTGAATAGCTGTCCACTCTAGTAACCGCTGTCCCTGAAAGGGTTAAAAGACAAATTCATGAAACTGGGGCTGGGCGAGTACCGATACCAGATATGGTATGGGGGTAGATTCAAGTTACTTTTGTGACTACCATAGGTTTTTTTAACAGCTGAGAGTGCATCTGAAAAACTTTGCACTGTCCTTCTTGAACCAATCGCCATTGTTGCGTTATTGTTTCCACAGATGATATTGATGTTGTGGGGATTGTACTGGGAGTGGTGGTGGTGGTTGTGGTACTTATATGTATATCAGCCGGGATCTGCTGCGCATATAAGCGAGGTTACTTCGCAAGTCAAAAGCAGGCAGGGAACAAGTAAGACATCGGCCCATCCTCCCACACAGATTGTCAAAGACGACATGTTTGACACATATTTACCTCCATGTGATCTCTGTTTTGTAGCTACAAAGTTCCAGCAAAAGGAGATGGGGTGGACTATGTCAGGACGGAGGATGAGGTATGTATACTCCACTGAAATTGAAAATGATCGGCATTTTAGGGCGAAACTTATCCTCAATTCCCGGCATTTTTTTTTTTTTTTTTTACCGATTCTGTTTTAATGCTCATGCAAAAACCATATCTAATAAATTTGAAAAATTGTTGTTTGGGGATCATCTGGTGGACCCTTGGTGCCAAATATTGTATGTTAAACTGGCGGGAAGAGCTTAATTTAGTCAGGTCATACATTTGTGGAAATTGAGTATGCTTTGAGGCCCAATTGTCAACTTACGTCCTTTGAAGTTTTTGTCAAAAAAAAAAAGAAAAAAAAAAAAAAAAGAAAAAGACAAAATACAAGCAAATTAGTGCTGCCATAAAGGGCCCCCGTAACCCTTATTGACCACCTTGGGGTACTGACACCTTAGACAAGAACCCTCAAACGTAGGCCCTATGTGTGTGCAAGGTCTCAAGAGGATTTGCCTAGATTTAGACCCTCAAAAACGGCAAACGTTTTTGTTGATAAACAATGCATCGCCTCGGCAACAGCGTGTGATGTAATCACACGCTTTAAATACATTTCGTCTTAAACGACTTTAGATGAAACACCCAAAGTTTGAAGACGATAAGACTTCATTGAAACATGACATCAAAAAAATGGGACAAATTCCAAAGTAAAATCAAAATGGTGGACTTCCTGTTAGCTTCAGTCTATCAGTCCAAATACTTTTTTGTCGGTCTTGGGCAGTTATGTTCATTCATCCATTATCCGAAGCGCTTACCTGGTGCAAATGTTATTTAACACATTCAGGGGGAGCAGTCACTACGGTGGACATCTTACCATGTTATCAGGTTACAGGGCGCATGAAAGGGTTAAAATGCTGTCTTTTATGCTCTTTGTAGGGAGACTTTCGACACAAGTCGTCGTTTGTGATCTGAGCGTGACGCAAGAATGACAGTGGGGAAAGTGCCAAGTGAAACGAGTGACACGTGCGGCTGCCGTCCTCGCAGTCTCAATCACGGAGCCGCCAACGGTTCATGCTCTGAACTCTCCAACTTTTTCACGTTTGCCAAAGGTGACAAGATTTCAAAAGGACAACAGTTTGCAAAAAAAAAAAAAAAACCTTACCATATTGAGTACACAGGGGATTGTTTTCTTCAATTGCTGTACTAAACCGTGGACTTGAACGTTATTTTCCAAACTCAAATCCACTTGGATGAAATATTTGACAACACGTAGTCCCACCAAAATCATTCAAACATGACACATTTCTACATGACGCTTCACAAGATGTGTCATTTGTAATAACATTTATTTTCTACTGTTGAAATTTGTCAGACTATTTTTGATGGGATATATTTTAAATGCCTATAGATAAAGGTTTACTTTTTTAAATATTTGTAAAATACTAACTGTGCTTTTTTTTTTTTTTTAAATTGTAATTATCTGTTTGTGGGTTTAAAATATCTGCGATTGGCTGGCAACCAGTTCAGGGTGTACCACGCTTGCTGCCCGAAGACAGCTGGGATAGGCTCCAGCACGCCCCGCGACCCTCGTGGGGATAAAGTGGATTAAAAAATGGATGGCTGGGTTTAAATGTGTTACTTTCACCACTTTTACATTCAAGCTGTCAGCATTTATACCTTTGCCACCAGAAAGAAAGAACGACGATCAAAGCAGGTTTCCGTCAGCATATCAACATGTGGTTCATGATCAGCGGTCTTGCGTCTCGAACTCTCACCGCTGGGATCGCCCGGGTTCTGTTTGTCAAAAAGCAACCAAAAAAAACCTCTGTTTTGTTTGTAGTCTTAGAAAGAGGTTTTGAAGAGTGCCAGTCAAATGCTGTGAAACACTGTACCACAATCAGTGCTGCGTTTTCTTGATTTTTTTTTAAGTGTCCTTCTCAGCTTGCTGTTCATTTTTGTATATATTGAATTTACTGTCCTGTAGCTGTAATACATAACGTACGTTCGGTATTACATTATCAGAAGAAAAAGGTGGACAGGGTGTGTGAGTTAGCCTTTTAGACCCCTCGCCCCTTAAAAAAAAAAACAAAAAAAAAACGTGCTGTAATACTTTGTTTCGACAATAGAAATGCAATCAACAATCTGCGGGAGTCTGCGACCTTTACCTGCTTCTTTAATTCACGGTTAAAGCCTGTCATCAACAAAGCCTTTCATCACAAAATGTGCTGCACCCGCATCGTCCGAGAATTGTATCAAGTACAATGTAACCTGCCAAGTAATATTATTAATAATAATAAATAAAATATAATGTTGAGTGAATTTGTACAAAGGCCCACCCTACTTAAACCTTACTCATGCTACGCTCAATGTTCAAAGTCACATTTTAAATGAATAGCTGTTATGTAAGTATCAAGAGAAATGAATCACTGCAAAATAAATCCACACACCCTTTGGATCATCATGAAGAGAGAATCGAGAAGGTATTTGCCGAGCGATACTGTGACCTTGTGGCATTTTATTGGCACTGCTGGAATTAATAAAGTACGGTAATGTTTGTGCCGGCCTGCAGGCAGTGTAGCAACGTAGCTTGAGCTTTTGCCTCATCGGTATGTACTCTTTCAAATTGAGAAGACGAGATATCAACAAGCTCGCTTTGACACACAGTTTTAACTCGAGTGCCAGTCCTCTTGAGACCTCCTCCCTGGCTAGAATCAGCAGTGTTCAATTATCTGACTTCTGTGTTCATCAGAAACTGCCGATAACAAGCACCGTGTTCAAACAAATGAATATCCACGTGTGCATGTATGTGTATTTAGCAGCAGGGTGTGACAGAGGCCGCAGTTTGATGGATGAGCTGTCAACTTTTTGACTGGAGCTGTGGCCTTAAGGTAGCCATCGCCTGTTGTGGCCACAATATCTGAACCGATTGGCAGACACTGGAGGAGACAAGGAGTCTTTTCAAGCTTTTTTGGCCTGTGGAACGTGGAGGCAACTGTTTTGGTGGTCTCTCGGGCAAAAACTCAAGCGTAGGAGGACCCTGATATGGTCTGTGAAACCCCTTATGACAGGTATCAAGAGTTTGGTCTGCATTGCCAGCTGCCCTTTTGTCACCAATTCTGTTTATAACCTTTTCTAGGCACAGTCGAGACATTGAGGAGTCCCAATTTATTTCGCAGCCGTGTGAGAATCGGTTGGGATGAGAATCATCACCTCCAAATAAAAGACCGGGTTTTTTGTGAAAATGGTTAGAGTGCCCCTCCAGGTCGGGGATGAAGAAAAAAAAAACAAGTGGCCAAAATGAGTTTCCTCCTCAGGGTGTCCGGGTTCCCCCTTAGAGAAGCAATTGTCATCCGGAATGGGCTCAGAGGAAAGCTGCCGCCCTTCCTTATCAAGAGCTGCCAGATGAAGTGGCTCGGGCAAGTGGGTAGGATGCACACCTTTTTGGTGAGGTGGTCTGAGGATGTCTCATTGGGAGAATCCCGGGGACAACCCAGGACACGCTGGCCTGAGAAGTCCTCGGGATGCCCTGGAAGAGTTGGATGAAGTGGCTTGGGAGAAGAAAACTAGGATTCCCTTCTTATGCTGCACCCGCAACCCTATCCCAGAAAAGCAAACGAAAATGGATGAATCTGTATTCTTCTGTGATAGCAGCTCACAAAAACAGGCGGAAAAAAAGAAAGTGCGCCATGCTTGTGAACTTAATCATTGAAATTGTGTATTCAACTCCCAAATTTGAGAGGTTGGTGGACTTCTGAAGGATCGTTTTCCAGAAACTCCAAATGGTACATCATCTTGGGCATTTATTTAAGTTTTAAGCTTCGATTGTTGACTTAAATTACATCACTATCAAATGGGTGTGTTACTCACATGAAATCCATTTTTATTTTTTTCCCCATGCTTTCTCAATTTACAAACTAAATCTCATTTAATACGTCATCGATTGATTTGCAAATGATGTGGGGCGCGCCGGGGAATATCATTTTAGATGTTCTATTCATTACTCGTAGGGCTCTGGAAGGTCAACAATTCTACTGATTTTATGTCCCACTAGGTACTTTGTGTTGGTTGATTCCTGTCAAGGTAATGAAAAAGAAGATCCGATTAAAAAGACTATATGAAACTCTTTCCATTGACAGTATATGACTGATAAAGTTCAACATCAACCCATCACCTTCACAGCATGTTGACAGTAAAATATTCCACCGCGTCTCCACACCGAGCTTTGTCACTCCTTTTAATTTTTTTAACGGCTGAGAGATTCACTTTCATGAAGTCATTTTTCTCGTTATACTTTAAAAAAAATGACATTTCCATCATCCTTTATGATCATGGTTGCCTGTGAATGTGTAGGAAATGTTCTCCAAATATCGATTATGGTAGGGAAGATCTGCCCAAGCATTTGCACATTGGAATTTGTTCATACCGCTTTGTTAAAATATTAAGGTTTGCCAACCACAATGAGTTTACCGCAAACTCTTTTGAGAACCGCTAATGGACCCACATTGAAGTAAAGGAGTCGCGCGGCCTCCCCCTTCATTTCTACAAATTTCATTTCTCCCAAGTGCCTTCTATCATTAAAATAGATCTGTTTCTCTCGCCTGCTTGTTATTCTGCCCGAGGTTTCATGTTGTTCACGCAGTTATCCACAAGCCTGGCGTTTGAGAGGAATGATGTCACCACAAATTTCTGCTGTCCGTCGTTCCATATCTGCAAATTTGTGTGTGTGTGTGTGTGTGTGTGTGTGTGTGTGTGTGTGTGTGTGTGTGTGTGTGTGTGTATATATATATATATATATATATATATATATATATATACACATGTGTGTGTATGTATGTATATTTTTTTTTTCCGTAGATTACAATAGACAGAAATATATAACTGTAGTGCCTAAATCTAGTGGAAAATAATTTTGGTAAGGACACACAGTATTAGGCAAAAGGATAGTATGGGCTTATTTTGACAAAACAACTCTTTTATTGCCATAATTTTGCAAATAGAGCTCTTTAACCATTTGAGGGACAGCGGTTACCACAGTGGACGGCTTTTCATGTTATCAGGTTACAGGTTATCATTATTGGTGCATGAAATGGTCGATTCTGCATTTAACAAACCACAAGACATGTCAGCGTGAAACGGCAAATCACGTACGACAGTTACATGTCGTTTTACACAGAAGCCAACCGTGGTAAAGGTTCTGTCATCACGCTGTTAACTGTTGTTGTTTTTCTATATTCAAGGGCAATCTAAACTGAGCTGTCATGCAGCACTGTTTGTTTGTTTGTTTGTTTGTTTTTTCACTCAATACCATGAAATAAATGCTGTCATCTTCATGTCTCACATCTTCGAGGGCTTGATAGGGGTGCAGGGGGAATTTGTCCATTCTAGTACCACTCTATTTGTGATGAATAAAACTCACTTATAATGCTAATAGCGATTCCTGTGTTTTTTGTTGTGTGCATGCTGCATATTACAGACTTTATTTTGTGCGTACACATGGACAATTTACTGGCAGTATTGGGAGTAATGCGTGACAAAAGTAACGCTTGACAGAGAGATTAGGGCTGCCTTGGAAAAACATAGCGATAATGCGATGTGTGTGTTGAAGATAGCAATAGAGATTATTAATGCAATATTTAACATGTAATTAAAGAAAAATGACATTTTTAGAATCTATTGAATGAATGAAATTCATTTTGTTCCTGTGTCAAAATAATCAAGCTCAATGTATTCTTAGCTAAACCCAGCCGCTGGGGGGCAGTGCCCTCCCCTGGGGGTGCACTGTTCCCCAGTGCCGGTCCCAAGCCCGGAGAAATGGGGAGGGTTGCGTCAGGAATGGCATCCGGCGTAAAACTTTTGCCAAGACGACCATGCGAGTTGGTAGGACGGTTTACAGGGGCGGATGGAAATTACTGACTCGCTGTGGCGACCCCTGAATAGGGACGTGCCGAAAGGAGAAGAAGAGGAAGAAGAAGAATGTATTCTTAGCTAATCACTTGTAATGCCCCAAGATACTGTTCAACTCTTGGATATATATATATATATAACACACACACACACACACACACACACACACATAATTGGGCGGCCTGGTGGTTTGCGCGTCGACCTCACAGTGCAGAGGTTCAATTTCAGGCCTTCCTGTGGTGGAGTTTGCATGTTCTCCCCTTGCCTGCGGCATGGGTTTTCTCCGGGTACTTTTCGGTTTCCTCCCACATTCCAAAAAAATGCATGACAATACAATACAATACAATACATCCTGATTTATACAGTATAGCGCTTTCACAACAGCTGCACAGGCTGATTGAACACTCAAAATTGTGAGTGTGAGCTCGGATGGTTGTTCGTTTCTGTGTGCCCCGTGATTGGCTGGCAACTGGTTCAGGGTGTCCCCCGCCTACTGCCCGTAGACAGCTGGGATAGGCTCCAGCATCCCCCGTGACCCTTGAGAGGATAAAGTGGTTCAGAAAATGGATGGATGGATGGATGGATGCACGTCATCTCTCTAACACTTTTAATTGTTAGACCAATTGTCAATTATACTTCAATACATAAAAACAACAGCCTCTTATTGATAATGGGAACACATATTGGCAATATAAATGTATCTTTCCCATGTGTGTCAATTAATTTAAGTTTGTTGATAATATGTTTTATGGTGTACAGTCTGTGGTTATTTATTTATTTATTGGACCAAAAATCAGTTGCAATGTTTGAATTTGTAAATGGGAAGTCAACCCCAAAATTTTCTTGACCAAATAATATGTTTTATACAGCCCCACGAGTCTAAAAACTGCATTCGGATTAGTATTGTTTGTGGAATAGGAGCTAAGCTGTAAAATCCACCCGTTTTTATCCATTTGGGGGGTTTGGGGGCATTTTGCCACTTACTGTCAACTGAAAATGACATCACAGTTGCTCAGGCCTCAGGTAACGACCAATCATGGCTCAGCTGCGGAAAACAGGTGAGCCGTGTTGAGACTTGCGAGGCACTTAGAACATAATGAAAAGAAAATTTGTGGGTTGACTGTCCCTTTAAAAATACATCTTGTTTTACATGCTGAGCCTCATTACTGACAAAAGGTTGAAGAAGGAAGTTGTCATGTAAAATTAAAGTCATAATCAACAGTGAGGTGGTGTTATTTGTCTTGGGTAATTCTGAGACCTTGTTTTGACTTTATTTGTGTACAGGGCTGATATGCAGTGTGATTTAAGATCTGAATAGACATCCCACTTTGATGCAGTGATCAGGACGGACTATAGCGTGAGTGGGAAGGGGGAAAACCGATGAGAGAAAAATCACACTTGACACAAGGATGAAACCTATTTCTAAAATATTCCAGCATGACATGATGAACTGACACATTGACAAGATGTGTCGACTGCTTGCATCTCATCATTACTAACATTCTCAGCCATATCCGAACAGCTCGAGGGCTCTTTCTTCCAACTTGGGAAGGACTTGTGGAGCTTTACTTATTTGACAATGGGACATACTGCTAGGCGGTCATCTCATAAAAAATATTTTACATTTGATGAAACAACACACACTAACTGCAAAGTGTGACATAATACTTTTTTATGGGGGGGGGGGGGAGTGGAGGGGGGTGGGGTGTTGACTGTTGACTCATCCATCCATTTTCTGATCCGCTTATCCTCACGGAAAATAAAAAAAACAAAGTTAAACAGGAGCTTGACTATATGTGTGCGTGTGCAGTACCTGACGACTTTCTTCTTTGTATTGTATTGTATTGCCTCGACAATTTTATTCTTGCATCTCCATTCCCATTATAGACAACGATTGAACTGAAGGAGTCCTCCATGTTGTGATGCATTGACTGTTCAAGTTGGACCTCTACAGGCGTTACTCGGCAATTACACACCAGTCTTCAAACAAATGAATCCATTGAACATCTCCCGAGAGACAGCTGTCAACATCCATCCGTCCATCCATAATCTGATCCGCTTATCCTCAGGAGCCTATCCCAGCTGTCTTCGGGCAGTAGGCTACACCCTGAACTGGTTGCCAGCCAATCGCAGGGCACACGTAGACCAACAACCACGATCACAATCACACCTTGGGACAAATTAGAGCATTCAATCAATCTACCATGCATGTTTTTTGGAATGTGGGAGGAAACCGGAGTACCTGGAGAAAACCCACGCAAGCACAGGGAGAATATGCAAACTCCACACAGGAAGGCAGGAGTCGGGATCAAACTCATGACCTCTGCACTGTGAGACAGACATTGATAACCAGCTAATCAACGTGTCACCCAGCTGTCAACACCTTCAATAAAATCATGCAAAAGTGGCTTACTGTGGCCTTCTTTTGTACACATCAACAATTACTGCTATTACATGCATTCAACAGAAACAAATATTTCCTGGACCTTACATGTTTTCATGTGTAACAGGCGCACATTAAAAGTTGCAGATGTAATGGGATCCAGTAAGAGAAAATAAAATCAATTTTAATTTACATGTACACCAGGAGTTGGGTGCTTCTAATATACTACGAATCATCATCGTCTACTTACTACCGTAGTAGTAGTAGTAGTAGTAGTAGTACTAATAGTCGTAGTAGTACCTACCACTCTGCTGTTATCCAGTTTGGCGCCCATGTCAAGATTTTATATGGCACTGCCCCACCGCCATCGACAATTTACATGCACTTTCTTCGGAAGTCAAATCAAATTATTTTTACAATGCCTTTAATTTATGAATAACATGTCACACAATTTAAAACATAAAATTGAACATTTTCCTCATTTTATGTATTGTATCAAACAAATCATGTGAGTGACTTACTGTGGCGACCTCTAACTCAACTTGATCTCTCTTTCTCCCATTTCCCCTCCTATTTTTTTTTCCTTTCCTGTGCTCTGGATAGTTTTGTTCATTTTGACATGTTTACAAAGTTTGCTAGTGTCACATCAATAAATGTGCTCTCATCCCAAAGAGAGCCAACAGTACACCAATCAGGGAGTATTCGGTTTTATCATATTTAGTAGCCTAATCTTCATTGGGCAGAACGGGCATGGTGACCAGATAATCACAGGGCACACATCAATGAACAACAATATGCACCCACAGTCACACCTATCGACATTTTAGAGTGTTCCATGAGCCTGCCATTCATTTTTTATGGAATGTGGCAGGAAACCTTAGTACCCGCAGAAAAGCCACGCATGCATGGAGAGATGCAAACTCCGCATAGAAAGAATCGAACCCTGCACCTCTGCACTGCGAGGCCGGCGTGTTAAGCAGTCATCCACCGTGCCACCATTAATAATAAGATAATAAGATAAGATAAGATATCCTTTATTTGTCCCACACTGGGGAAATTTACAGCCTTCAGCAGCAAGATTGAGGGTAGAAAGAAGAGAAAAGAAAACACAGTTCAATTAAGTGCAATATAAATACAATAGTCACAGTACTATTCACATTTGTTGTCATATCATTTAAATAATTTTATGATACATTTATTTATTCATTTTTTATTCAGCAGCCTGACAGCAGTCGGTAGGAACGAGCGGCGGTATCTCTCCGTCTTGCAACGCGGGTGTAACAGTCTCTGACTGAAGGAGCTACCGAGTGCTGTCAGGGCGGGCTGGAGGGTGTGGGAGGGACTGTCCAACATAGCTTTTAGCTTAGCTAGCATCCTGCTGTTGCCCACCTCCTCCAGAGTGTCGAGGGAGCAGCCCAGGACAGAACTAGCCTTCCTGACTAGTCGCTCCAATCTCTTCCTGTCCCGGGCCGAGATGCTGCCTGACCAGCAGACAATGCCATAATGGATGGCCGAGGCCACCACCGAGTTATAGAAAGTCTTAAGGAGTGACCCCTGAACCCCAAAAGACCTCAGTTTCCTGAGTAGGAAAAGTCTGCTCTGACCTTTCCTGATCAGGGTGTCCGTGTTAGTCGACCAGTTTACATCCGTCTGTGTCACGCTTGACTCACGTCAAGGCACACTTCTCGGTCAGGTGACCGACGACGCTCATAAACAAAACGCTAAAGCCCGCAAAATGAGTAAAAATGCTGCTTGGAGATCACAAATGACAGCGGCCTTAAAAGTACGTTCGAAACAACTGGATCAAAGTTATGGCTGAATACTCTGAGATCGCCACAATAGCACTGTTGCTATTTCCGACATCCTACCTGTGTGAAGTGGGGAGTTTCTGCAGCAACGGCGACTAAAACAAAATTACGAAGTAGACTGGACATAAACCACACACTTGAGGTGTCATTGTCTCCTATTACCCCGAGATGGGACTGTCTGATTGCAGAAAATCAAGCTCGGGACTGTGGTGAGTCGTCATTTTCATGCACTTTGAATTTGCGTTGTATCGTATTTTGAAGGCATTAAACATTACCAGAGCGATAAGAGTGTTGCGACCAGATTAGACGCTCCTTGTGTTTATTATTATATTTCGAAAACACCACAGTTTTCATGCAGCTCATACCATCTTATTTTGTTGTATTAATTCGCCACACCTTAAATGCCGGTCCCTGAAAATATTGTCTGACTTAACCGGTCCGTGGGGCAAAAAAGGTTGGGGACCCCTGGAATAAAGCTGTAACCTGTTATACAAGCACTGTAGTTACCTGCAAGGCAAAATTGCGGGCAAAAATTTGGCCGTAATGGGCAAAACAGTACGAACACCTTTTAAAAAAACGTATCATTATACGACCTATTTTTTCTGTAACAGATTATCATAGAAATTTGTATTGTTATATTATAGTGTACTGTTTAACGAGGAAAACAGAAAATATAAGGGGCTAAAAACTCGTACAATAATAAGACTCCGCATGAGTACTGGCGCATGCGCGATTGCTCAGTTCAAACTGGGAAGCGACTTCCACCCGCAAACAGACGACTATCTTTCTCTCGTTAAGTCAAGTGGTTGCATTTTATTTGTTGTTGCATTCACGGGGGAAAAAAAACTGCCCAGCAACGATGAACTTTTTTGGTTTTGGTCAAAGTGCGGACATCGATATAGTTCTCAATGATGCCGAAACAAGGAAGAAAGCTGAGCATAAAAGCGAGGACGGCAGAAAGGACAAATATTTCCTCTTCTACGACGGGGAAACGGTGTCGGGGAAGGTCAACGTCACACTCAAGTATCCTGGCAAGAGGCTGGAGCACAACGGAATCAAGATCGAATTTATTGGCCAAATAGGTAAGCGACTGGCGGGGGGCCTGCACCGTGTGCACGCCACTCTTAGCTCCGCCGAGAAGTAGCGAAGTCTGACAGTTGACGGCGGACAGTCTCTGGCAAAAGTATTGCATCAATTTACAGTAGAATTTATTTAACGTTGGATTCGAATACCGGTACGGCCCCTTGCACCAATGTCTTGTGTAGGCGTTTGTAATTGCTTTCAAAAGCGTGTATAAGAAGTGTCAGGTCTCGTGACAGATCGAACTAGCTCACAGGTCAGCTGACACTACAGTCATTGGCTAGCCGTCACCACGATGTCATGATGGAGAAATAAGAAAAAAAACTTAAAACTTATTGTGACTGTTCTTATTCATAGCATCACGGTTGTTTTTTTTATTTACTTTTTATGGTTGGATTGCACCGAACAATATATGGATTGGATTGGATTGGATTGGATCGCTTTATTGTCATTACACATTCATGCAACGAAATTATGGACTTAACAGGCACGCTCTGCACAAGAAACATGAAAAACAAAGACGAACATGGGATACAGTGCAAAGGGCCTGTCGGCACTCGCCGTAAGTACAGCGCCCCGAGATCTTAGATGAGAAAGTAAACACGAGGGAAGATGTACATAGATATCTACTTTTTATGGTTGGATTGCACCGAACAATATATGTACATAGATATATGTGTGTACACCATAAATTGGGAGTAACGATTACATTTACAGTGTATTCCGTTACATTCACTCAGGTTCATGACAATGTGTCGTACTTTTAATGCAATGCACCATACTTGTAACTTTTGGGTGAGTATTTTTGTTCAGAATGCAATACATTGACTTATGTAACACTCGCCTCTTTTTTTGATCTACTGGTATTTATTGTTTATTATTGCTTGCATGATCAATTTTAGATTCAGATTCAGAAAACTTTATTTATCCCGTGGGGCAATTAGAGTTTTATTTTAATAATTTTAGGGACTCGGTTTCACTAATCCCGCCTACAAAAATATTGGTCGGCCTGAAAGAAACAACATGAATCTTCCCAAAGTATATATAAATAAGCATTTTATCAAAATTAACCAACGGAAATCAGACATTGCTTTTGAACTGTGGTTCAATTGAATTATTAAAAATAATACAAATAAACTCATGAAACGGACAGACCTGGGCAAAATTGAGAGGAAGTAAAGGAAATAAAATAAATTGACCATAGGGACAACTCACTCGTGTCCTCTCAGTAACGCCACAGGTGTCTTCAAACTTGTATCAGTCAGTGGAGCTATTTAAAGGGTTACAAGTAGTCACTGTGCTGTTTCGTGACATGGTGTGTACCACCATAAACATGGACCAAATGAAGCAAAGAAGAGAGTTGTCTCAGGAGAGTAGAAGGACAATTATGGACGAGCAGATGAGAGGTAAAGGCAAAAACAGCATCTCAGCTTGACATTCTTGTGACTATCACAATATCCATACAAAGGCAATTCCAATGAAGTCTGGATGTTGTGGTAAACATAAAAACAGAATATAGTGATTTGGCATTGATGTTCCGACAGAAACACCGTTTAGCTTAATTTTGTTTTTGATTTCTTTTTTTTTTGGGGGGGGGGTACACTTCTACCCCTTAGGTCAGAGCAACTCTCTCTAACTTCGAACAGCTTCTGAGTATTGTGGCAGAGCAGGTTATTGTGTGCTTTGAACATTATTTGTGCTATTTTAAACTCAACTAGGTCATAACATTACTCAGGACATCCTTGGTTTTGTACACGATCCCCATGATTATGACATTTTATTTTTGCCGTTATCAATATGTGACTTCCAGCATCATTTTGCGCCAATTACTACTCCAAGGAATTTATTTTCATACACTCTTTCTATTTCAATTGAATTTATTTAGTTATAGTCATTTTAACCTGGTACTTGTTCTAGTGCCAAAAACAACGAACTTTGTTTTGTTTAACTTTAATGATAATTTATTCATAATTACTATTATTTTTTTTTTTATGTGTTCAGTTCATTTTTCACAGTAGTCAGAAGCTGTTTCAGATTTTCCCCAGAGCCGTTGAGAGATGCTCACCGGCAAATAAGACACTTTTAAGTAGTTTTGAGACACACCAGATATTTAAATACAAAAAAAATATATTTTTGCGTCTAGTGCATTTTTACCAAGCCAATGCTCAAGAAATATGAATGTTAACATTTTTCTTCAATAGCTAATACACAGGAAGCAGGTTGGCCAACCGGTTAGCACGTCCTCACAGTGCAGGGTTCGATTCCGGCATTCCTGTGTAGAGTTTGCATGTTCTCCCCGTGCCTGTGTGGTTTTTCTCTGGGTACTCTGCTTCCCACATTCCAAAAACATGCATGGCAGGTTAATGAAACTCTCTAAATTGTCTCTCAGTGTGATTGTGAGCACAAATGGTTGTTCGTCTTTGTGTGTCCTGCGATTGGCTGGCAACCAGTTCATGGTGTATGCCGCCTACTGCCCGAAGTCAGCTGGGATAAGATTGCAAGCCCGCGACCCTCATGAGGATAAAGTGGTTCAGATAATGGATGCATGGATAGATATTAATGCATATTTTCGGGGTTTGAGCCTGGAACAGATTAATTAACTTCACAGTGTTGTCCTAACAAAAGCCCAATCAAGTGTTTTTTTTAATTTGGAGAGTCCACTGTCTGCATATACCTCTTTAAAGTTACAATTATATATATAATCATGGGTAAGAAACAACTGCTGCCGATGTTTGATCCGCAGAACTAAACTTTAATTCAGAACATGTTGATATTTAGTAAGTTACTGTCACAAAGGACCAAAATGATATCTCCTTCTTCATTTTCAAGGAATTTACGATTACTATGAGATGCTTTTGTCAAACTGTTGAAGCTGTTAATGAAAAATATTTTCTCACAACTGCAGTCATATTTCAGGCAAAAAAAAAACAAAATCATAAAATATGTAAACCACTGTCCGGACTAATAACGAGTGTTGAACTTGTCTTCTCACATCAGATCAGATCTTGGCAGACTGCAGCTGTCAGAAGTGAATGACAAGTTTGCCCGAATTCTTTTAGAATGCATGAAGATACTCCGCTGCAGCTGTCTCATTGTATTAATTCTTCTCTTCCAGAGCTCTACTACGACCGGGGAAACCACCATGAGTTTGTTTCTCTGGTGAAAGACTTGGCGCGGCCAGGGGAGCTCACGCAGTCGCAGACGTTTGACTTTGAGTTCACTCACGTGGAAAAGCCGTATGAGGCTTACACTGGCCAGAATGTCAAATTACGGTGAGCTCCACTTGATTGCGTGGCAATTGTTTTCAATCCTGAGCCATCAACAAACACAGTCCCACCTACAGATGTCTTTTTCTCCTTTTTGTGCAGTTAAAGGGGAAGTCAAGTCAAAACAGTTCTTGATGATTATACTGTATATATGTTCTATGCGCCCTCACTAGTCTAAACGGTATTCTTATTAGTATTGCATTTGTAGAATATTAATTCGGTAGCAAAATCCATCCGTTTTAATCCATCTCAGGGCACGGCCATTTTGCCAGTTGCTGTCAACTGAAAATGACATCACAGTCACTCAGGTAACGACCAAAAATGGCTCACCTGTTTTCTGGGTTTGGGCACATGACGTTTGTAAATTGAACCATTAGGCCAGGGGTCCCGAGGACCAGACTTGTACTCGGAGATCCTAACACGCCGGTGTGTCAGGAACGGTGGTCACATGATATGGAGTGAGCTGGATGCACGAATCGCTCAACAGAGTAAGGGGACAACAATTTTTTATAGGTCGGTCGGGACTATCTATATTCTGGATGAGGGGTTCGGGCAGGGGCGTCCAACTCATTTTTGTCACGGGCCACATTGTAGTTGCCATTTCCCTCGAACGGCCATTATGACTGTGAAACCATATAACGAATTCAAGAATAATCGTTTCTTCAACTATTGAAGTGACTGTAATGAGGAGTTTGGTCACAAGAAAATGCTGACAACAGCTCTCATCTATTACTTCTATTCATTTTAAAATTATGGTACAGCTTTTAGGAAGCATCATGGAAGTTGACATGCTTGATTGGCTTTCGCGGGCCACATAAAATTATGTGGCGGGCCAGATTTGGCCCCCGGGCCGTGAGTTTGACACCTGTGGGTTAGGGGCTAAGAGTGAACGTTCGGACACGCCCTGTGATGTCATTTTCAGTCGACAATGAGTAACAAAGCGGCAGTCCCCCCTGAGATGGATAAAAACGGATCGATTTTGCTGCTATGGTTCATCTTGACAATGATAGGATACTTTCCTATCCTCATCTTAATTCATTTTTGATTCAAATATTGCAAGTTTATTGTTACAAAAAACATGACATAGTGTTGCGATATGACTTTGTTGCATACAATCACAACTTCTTTAAAAAAAAAAAAAGATTTGTCTTATTTAGTGTGGTCTGACCTCGTGCAAAGGACGGAGTTTGATCCAGACAGCCGAGCGTGAGCGCACCCTAAATTATTATTCTGAGATAATTTATTACTTATTTATTGAATGGCAGAAAATACTAAGGAAAATGTTTTTTCCACACAGCTATCTTGATTTCAAGACAATTTTTTTTTTTTTTTTTTTTTTGCAGCTATTTTCTGAGAGCAACCGTCAGCCGCAGACTGAGTGACATCGTCAAAGAAGTGGACATCGTGGTTCACACCCTCAGCACTTACCCTGATATCAACTCCTCCATCAAGATGGAAGTAGGCATCGAGGACTGTCTCCACATAGAGTTCGAGTACAATAAATCCAAGTATGCTTACGTTTCAGCGAGAACACACGTGGGTTGAAAGTATTCGTCGTCATGGGTGATCATGTCCTTTGCAGGTATCACCTGAAAGATGTTATTGTCGGCAAGATTTACTTTTTGCTTGTGCGAATTAAAATCAAGCATATGGAGATTGACATCATCAAGCGGGAAACGACTGGCACCGGCCCAAACGTCTACCACGAGAACGATACTATAGCCAAGTATGAAATCATGGACGGTGCACCAGTCCGGGGTAATTTGAAAGGATTGTACCCCAGTGGTAAATGATTTTGCTCTGTTATTCTAACAAAGTCTGCCTCTGAAACTCTGCAGGGGAGTCCATCCCCATAAGGCTGTTCCTAGCGGGCTATGAGATAACGCCCACCATGAGGGACATAAACAAGAAGTTTTCAGTTCGCTACTACCTCAACCTGGTCCTCATCGATGAGGAGGAGAGACGGTATTTCAAACAACAGGTATGTACTACATTGGCATTTGTCTACTGGTGAAATACCAACGTCATTCATTGTGGCATTATGTTTGTGTTCGGGAAACATGGTACTGTCTCGGGTACTATGAGCTTTTTTGTCCATATGACATGATATGAAGTGAACTGGACCGGTCATTTTTTAGAAATACCAATAAGTTGCTGTTTTCCCCTCTATTTAATGCAAAGCAATACAAATACATTTTAATATTTATATTTAACCCATTTGGACAGTGGTTATTACAGTGGACAGCTTATCATTTCATCAGGTTGCAGGGTGCATGAAAGGGTTAATGAAATATCCTTTTCGGAAAAAAAAATTATTGCCTTTTATTGTTAAGCAACTTATGAAGATATGGGAACTTTTCAAACCATTGTCTTCATGTCAAGTAATTCTCAGAAGCTAATTTGACTCACTAGTTTGAACTATTAAATGTACGAAGTAAGTCATCACCTTCCTTAAAATATGTAAACTATACATTAAACATTTATTTAAAAAAAAAAAAAAAAAACATCAACTTTCATGTCATTTTCAGTCGACAGCAAATGGCAAAATGGCCGACCCCTGAGATGGCTGGTTGACCTTTCTGCTCAATTCAGATTCCTCAAAAGCAATATTACCGGTAACAAAAAAAACCCCCCAAAAAAAACATGTTTTGATGGCATTGAGCTTTTAATTTTTTCATCTGTATGTTTGAATAACACAACAAAATGCCCCGAAACAAAAATGATGCAATGTGATACGCACAAGCTTCCTGCTCCTTACCTTGGGCTCCCCACCTTGGCTTACAGTATTATCTTACTTTTAATATAATAATATTACTGTACACCTTTGTAATGGACAAGTTTTTCAGGTTGTTGTTATATTACACTTACAAATGAGTCTGTTTTCTCTTTATCGTGTGACAAAGTATTAGTATGACATCAGGTCCAACAGACCATCAGAATCAGAATCATCTATATTGGCCAAGTATGTAGAACACACATGGAATTTGTCTCCTGGAGGACAAGCTACCCTAGTCTCATCAATAACAAGCAACCACAATAAACAAGGACATGACAACTGAATATGGAAAGACATTCCGTAATGTAAAGGTGCCGTTGTGCGGTAGTACAGTACCACCCAATGACAGCTGTTGTAGAATACAAAACAATAACAGTTGTGAAGTTGGTGCAGATAATCATTGCACCATTTTAAAGTGACCAGGAGCAGTATTTGTAGAGCAAGTTTAAGTGTGCAACTGTACAGAAGTCCTTGAGCGCTTTAAAGTGTCTGGTGCTGTGGAATAGAGATCAGTGACAATGGTTCAAGTAAGGACAGAGCTCGAGCTACAATGACCATGATGAGCCACTTGCGTCAGGGTCATATCGTATTTTCCGGATTATAAATCAGAATGTTTTTCATAGTTTGGCCGGGGGTGCGATTTATACTCTGGAGCGATTTATGTGTGAAATTACTAACACGAGTACTATACATCATCATCATTTCACATGTTATTTTCACATTGAACCGCAAGAGGTCGCTGTAGGCCTGTGTTGGTAAATCGAAGATTAGTCTGACGTAAACGACGTAAAAGAGGAAGCGCCTCATCTTCTACCTCCGGAGTTGGCGGAGTTGTTTGACAGTGACACAGATAATGAAAATTTCATTGGATTTAGTGATTTGGAGTGCACTGATGGTTTGGTAAACTTGTTAGCATGTTCTTTCTGCTATAGTTATCTGAATAACTCTTAATATGTTACTTGAACATACCAGGCACATTTTCAGTTTATTGTTTAAGCGTCATGTAACGTGAGCATATCGTACACTTACTTATGCAGCCTGTTGCTCTCTATTTTATTTTTACTTTAAATTGCCTTTCAAGATGACATGTCTATTCTTTGTGAGTGATTTTATCAAATACATTTCCCCAGAAAATGTGACTTATACTTAAGTGTGAGTGATGTTTTTTTCATCTTTAATATGCATTTTATGGCTGGTGCGATTTCTACTCCAGAGCGATTTATAAACTGGAAAATACGATATCTGTTGAGTTGTTCCACTCAGCTGTTCTAAAACCTTTCTGATGTTGCAGGAAATCACCCTGTGGAGGAAAAGCGACGTTGCGAGGAAGAGCATGTCTCATCAAGCCATCCTTGCCTCCCAACGCTTCGAAGGCTCCTCCAACCCAGAAAAAAGCCAGGCTGGTGAAAAGGACAGCTAAGAAGTCTAGACCACTTCTGCAGCGAGTTGTGAATATGAAAATTGTTTTTGTGCGTCAGGAGAGAATGCGCTGTACTTATTAGCTGTGCAAGTGTATGTCAAGGGAACAGGGCAAGGTCAGATTGTACTTGCAAATTTTTAGATTAGTTTCTTTGGAACAGCTGGAGGTCCCAGATTGGTACAGTTAATCCACTGGAGACTTATTTCGCTGTGATGCGTAATTTTTCAGACAAAACAAATACAGTGTTCCCTTGCTATTTTGGTTGGTGCAGCTTCACTCCATCGTGGGTTTTAATTTTTGACGATAACTTCATGTATTCTTCTTTTTTAGGGAGGGGAAATTTGTTTTACAAAAACCAAGAACATGAACATTAGAGCTGGTCAGCCCCAAAAATCGAGTTCCTGTGTGTTGTTTAAAAATGGCCGAATAGAAAATAAGTCAACATCTACTTTTGGGGGCTATTTTGGGGCTCGTGTAACGTATCACCCGTAAAAAGTGAGTGAACACTGTATAGGCCAAATTAAGTCTTGAATTGGCATTAGTTTTCCAAATATCAGCCTCTTCATGCACTTGAATATAATTTGCAAATACATTTTGACTTGGTGTGAGTGTGCTCTTGCACGTCTCGAACATGGCCTTGAATTCTAGCCACTTTGTGCTGCAGCTGTGGTCAACTCTAAATCTCACATTTTTCAATGTTTAATTGCTGGTTTGGGAAACTTATATTCGCTTTTAGTTCAAGAGGAAGTGAATTGAAGATGCTTAAATATTTTCATACATTCCACCAGAAATGACGTATTTATTTTTTTAATAGCATCAGATAGGAATGAATGCCTTACGTAGTGTAGACGTCACTTTGTGGACATTTTTGATTTGAAGAGGAGGGGTGGGGGAACATTTACAGTGAAGGAATCAATACATTATTTTTTGAAAGATCAAGCTAATTATATATTCACATACACACTACTCATAAAACATTAGGGATATTTGGGTTTCATGTGAAATTTATGGACAATATAAAATGTTCACGCTACAGTGTTATCATACATACGTTAACAACAATGGTGGGTGCACCACAACAAAACATTTCAACGCGCCAATAACTCGTGATGTGCCCTTTAGCATCAATCACAGCTTGACGACGACGTCTCATGCTGTTCACAAGTCGACTTATTGTCTGATGAGGCATGTCATCCCACCCTTGAAGGGCAGCCCTCAGGTCATTGAGGTTCTCGGGAGCAGAGTTTTGAGCCTCTACACGGCGACTCAGCTGATCCCACACGTTTTCAATAGTATTCAGGTGCAGTGTAGGCTATTCCATTTGAGGTACACCAATTTCCAACAGTCGCTCCCTGATGATGTGACCTCGATGAGCTGGAGCATTGTTGTCCATCAAGATGAAATTAGACCCGTGTTGTTCATGTAGGGGCACTATCACTGGATGAAAAATGCTATTCACATAGTATGGAATTGTCACAAAGCTTTGTCATCTGCCCACATCGTAACACCGCCACCACCAAAAGCTCGTCTCTCGGTATCTCCGTTGCAACCTGCCAATGACACTCTATGACACTCGAAGGTCAGTGGCCACTTCCGTCTGGGAACGTCTCATTTGAAACATCAAATGGCAAGGAACAGTTGATCCATTTTTAGGTGTCGTCTTGGTCTCATGACGTCAAAATGTGAACAGCATGATGAGGACGACCATTTAAACACCAGCTCTGGTTGAACCAGGACATGCATGTTTGCACTCTCCTTGAGGGGGAAAGAAATTTCATCTGTGCTGTATGTTGCACATGGAGAATATTTTACAATGAAGCTGACTTGACATTTATTGGTGGACTCCAGGATCAAACGCCTGTTTTGAATTTTATCGTGTTGGAGAGCAACAACTCGTGTAAAATGTACTGAAACACGTAACCGTTGGAACCGTGCATTCAAAAGCCGAGAGAAGGTCACATCAAATTCAGCTGTAAAGGTTTGAATGCATTTTAGGCTCGTCCTGTAATTTCACCTGAAAGCCAAATATCCCTCCCCTTTTGTGATGAATCCTGAAAAGAAATAATCTACTCTCCAAAAATTAAGAAAGCAACTTTATTTCTGGGGGGTTTCAAAGTGCGGGACAGTGAATGTACCATCAAGAAAAACAACTGAGGGCTCTCTTAACATCAGAACTAAAAGGCATTCTCGGTGATTTTGATCTCACGCTACAACACCTCCCAGGAGAAGCGTGTTCCTTTGAAAATCTATTTGCTGAATTCTTTATTTGTTAGCTCCTCGTGCTTTCTTGTCTTTGATCTGATTACTTTTCAAGTTCCTATCTCTTATTTGCACTATGATCGCTTTTTATTATTTTTTAATTTTTTTTTGCTGTTCTCTGGACTGTAGTAGGAACAAACCTTTTTGGTTCGTAACCACCACCGCCAGATGATTATGGGCAGTGTTAGATCAGTGTTCTCGACTAAAGCGACCCAGACGCTTTTTTGTTGGCGGCCGCTTTTTGAGATTCAGTCTGCTTTGTGCCTCAAGATTGATTCCCCCCTCCCACCCCCCAAAAAACAAACAAACATTGTTTTGAATGCAGTGCCAGGGCATAACCTGTTACTGTGACTTTCGAAGTCATCATTTACTTTGGAACACATTTCATCAAATCAAAAAAAATGTTTTCTCCTTTCCCAGAATGGGAAAGGAAAAGCACAGAAGTGTTTTGAACTGTGAGCTTCTTTCACAATGGATGGCATAGAAGTTCCATATATTTTTATATTTCATATTAATCATGAAAGGCACGTTGTGGTGTCACGCCGACGGATTGTGCCAACTGCTCTCGATTGGATAGTCTGCATCAGGGGTCACAAATCTTTTTAAACCCTTTCATGCACCAATAATGATAACCTGACAACCTGATATGATGTCCACTGTGGTAACCGCCGTCCCTGAAAGGGTTAAAACAGAAATGTACAAGTGTTTAAAAAGAAGACAGTGGCGCTTTTTTTTTTTTTTTTTTTTTTGAGAAAGGCAACACAAAATAACTGGTGAGCTTTTGGTTTTTGTGGAGTTTATTGTTTTTCTTTTTTTAGCACCATATCCTCATGTGGCCGGCCGGCGGCCACCATGTTGGTTTCTACTTTGTACATTGTAGCCCCTTTAACTTGTGTGTGCTTAAATTTGCTGGTTGATTCTCAGTCTTCACTGAAAAAAAAATATATTGAAAACACATTCTAGAACATCTGGATCACAATGGAAGTCTGTTTATTTGTTGTGTTATTTACTTGTATATTTTATTTTGTCTGCCCCTGATACAGACAGAAGCCTCTTCAATGCAATTTTTCAAAGAATATTCAATTGAATTAGAGTATAAAGGAACAATGTTAATGATGTCCTGTTATTAAATTGAGATAGAATAAGTATAAACAACAAATAAACGATGTACATGATGACCTGTTGTTCACTTTTATGACCTTTCACTTTCCCTTTGTCAGTTTCGTTTGAATTAAAGGGAGCAATGGAAAACTTCTCTGTTGATTAAATGGCACCTTACATTGTCCAAATTATGTCTCTAATTAACTTGTTCAGTACCAGCCAATTCTGGACCAAGTCTGAAAAGACGTTTAAAAACGTCTTTGGGAGTGAATTAGTTAAGATGACCCGCCAGTGATGTTTTCCTCATAATATACTCAAATGATGAACGGCAGAATTTTTAAAATGTTCACTCATGCTTCTGAGGGTTTCTGATCAAGCTGTATTTGCTCAAATTGTTTAATATTTCTGAGTTGCACATCTGGCTCAGAGTCGAAGGGTTTTGGGTACAAATCTTGCTTCAGGCCCTCCCTTGTGTTCTGTTTTCTCCAAGTGCTCTGACACTCTTGACTTCCTCCCACATGACAACTTGCACATTGGGGTGAATTGAAGTCTCCATATTGCCCATATTGAATGTGAGTGTGAATGACCGAGACCAGTTCAGATGCCAATTCAGCTGTGATTGGCTCCAGGTCACCTGCACACCACGAATCCGTAAAAGAAATGGATGAATGGGTTAATGCGTGTTTAATATTCAAAATGTGAAATTAAACTTGGAAAAATGAGGTACAGAACTCGAAGTCTGTGGTGCAGTTTCCGTTGTGCGCCACTAGAGAGCAGGTTTGTATAAGGTAAACGAATTTATCCAGGAAATTAGGTTGTTCAGCTGTTTGGAGCGATAGCGCCAATTGATGACTTAAAATAAATGTGATTTTGGGGTAAAATGTCCCACTTATAAAATTTGAAGTGATAATTCCCCAATGGCATAAAATTGATGAATAGAACAATACTAATTACACAATATGTTAACTAAAGTGATCCATATATATACCTATCTATCTATCTATATATATATATATATATATATATA